ACCGCGGCTGGCACCGTGCCCCGCGCCAGGCTGTGTGTTCTGCCTCGCCTCCTCTGCGGAGGAGCTGTGACCCGGGCTGGGTTCACCCCCAGCCAGGCTCCTGCAGGTCTTGGGAAGCAGCAGCTGCGTGTCCGTCCCGAGGCCACGGTGCTGCCAGCTGGCACAGCACGGCCCTGCCTGGCATGGCACACCCTGTCTGTGCTGCTGACTCTTACCCTGGCCGGGGCAGCACTGTGGGAACACCTTGGGCCTCTCACCTGGGCAGAGCTGGAGCTGCTCTGGCTGCACGGGGCAGTAGTCACTCCCTGGGAAATCCAGTTGGCTCCCCAGGTGCTCACAGCCCACTCGAGCACTTACAAGGGTAAAGGAAAGCATCTAAACCAGAACAACTCAGTATATGGGAAGTACCAAAGTTCCAGCATGTTCTGCACAGTTGGAGGAGTTTACATCCAAACCCGACAGCAGAGCTGTGTGCTGGAGATGGAGGTACATCCTGTGCTGCTTTGTTTAGTGCTTGCTCTGGTGGCTGTAGCTAGGGCACTTGTTCCACATCCTGCTCTAAAGGTGGCTCAGCAGCTGGCAGAGGTGGAACAGGCGATGGTGCAGCTGTGTGCAGTTTCCCTGGAATGGTCCTCCAGAGGCTGACTGGAGGTTTAGGTGACTTCACTGCCAACAGCAAAGCCCAAAGGGTGTGTAACTGCCTGGTTTGGGTACTGTGGTGCTTTTAAAGAGCATTCACCATCTCTGTGCTCTGTTTTGAGATCTGAGCAGCGTGGTCTGTCCTCCAGGTGTTTCCACAGGAACAGGCTGTGTTAGGTGTTCTTCCCAAGCACAAATCATCTCCACGGTGAGACTTTCCCCCTGCGAAGGGATGGGAAGCAGGAATTGGGCTGTGCCCTCGTGGAGCTGAGCTGGCAGGAGCAGCACCAGGTGGTCTGCTGAGTTCTGCAGGAGCTGTTTGAAGGAGGAGAGGAGTCACCTGAAATTAGGTCATGGAAAATCCTGCGAGGAAGGCAGTGAGCAGGAGCACAGACTCACCAGTTGGTGTGTTCTGGGGAGAGGTTTGCATGGAGGTGTTGGCCATCGCTGGCCTCACCGGTGGCTTACTCTGGAATTTGGGATGGTAATTAATTGGCAATTAACTGGTAATATTTAATATGTCAGGGCAAGCCTGTAATTCTGTATGATTTAGGAAAGCAAAGCATTCTCAATGGCTGCAGAGTGCATGGGAAGTCCTTACCTTGGAGCATGGGTGAAAGGCTATAAGGAGGAATTAGCAAGTAAAAACAAAGATGAATTTTAAGTGATGATTCTTAGATTTTAGGTGATTTTTAAACAAAGTTGATTTTTAAGCTGAATGTATGTTTAGTTCAGGAAATGGGGGGAAGCCCTTTTTGTGCTTCTGCACCTCAAATATTCTTTATTATTTGTATACATATATTAACATCTGCATTTTCAGTCCCATTTTCCACAACTCTGGGGCCTTGTGTTTGACTGCAGGGCAGTCAGGCAGCTGTGCAGCACCCCAGGTCCTCCGCTGCTCTGTCCAGGGATGGAGGCAAAATTCATCCTAAGCTCTTGCTAAGAGATTTCCCCTTTCTGCAGCTCTTGCTGTGTATTTTTGCCACGATGCTCTTCGCTTTAGTCAGCCAGGATTTGCACACTGGGTGTTGCTGGCCCCCCCTGTGCCCCCAGCCTGCTGTGAGGAGCTGCTGCTGGGGCAAATGCCATGGGAAAGGGCCTCATTGCCTCCTTGCCCATCCATGGGCATTAATGTCACTTGCCCTCCTGCTGGCACATTCCTGGCAGAAACAGAGGCACAGCAGCTTTGCAGATAACTTCTGTGGCACCACTCCTTGACAGAGCTGCTTCTGAGGACACCCTCACTGGGTGTGGGGACACCTCTCTGTGTCTTTGCCTGTATTCAATTGAGGTGGAAAAAGGAAAGACATTTAGTGGAAAGTCTTTCTTTTTACAAGAACCAGTTCAAATCTCTCAGGTCCAGACTGGTTTCCTCACCCTTTCCAGGGCAGGTCCCAGCTGTGAGCCAGGGGGAGACAGGTTAATTAGCAGGGAATGCCATTCGTGCCCATGTAAGCTGATGGCTGGCTGCCTGGGAGGTGAAGACCTTTCTTTTGAGTTCTTGTTCAGGATTTATTGCTTGCTGTTGGTGAAGGATTTGCACAGTGCCCATCATAAGCAAAGCTTCCAGCTCCTGTAGTGCTTTCTGGAAAATCAAAGTTCCTGTTCTTTTTCCCCTTGTCTGCCCAGGCCCTAGTGAACATGGGGGAAGGTGAAGTTGGAAATTAACTCAAGATTGGTGTGGGATTTCTTTAATGTAAGGTGGAAGCCTCAATCCAAACCATCACCTGAGCTGCAGCAACCCTCGGTGATCTGGTCCCTGGTATATTGATTCCAGTATGAAAATTTTGGGGCTAGAAGGTGAAGAGCAAACTTCTGGAAAGATCTTTGTTCTGCTAAGCAGGAGCAGTGTGGGTATAGCAGGTGGAAGCCTGGTGTTGTGCAGCAGGGGTTTTCTCCTTGTACCAAGTGGATGTGGCACTGTTCACACTGAGTGTGTTCTCTCAGTATGGAGAGAAGTTGCTCAGGTGGTTTCAGCACTGCTCTTACTCTTCTTGCCTCCTTTGCACTCCTGTGTCTCCCTGGATTCCCTGAGTGTGGCACTCAGTGGTGATGGGTCACAGGTTGGACTCGCTGCTCTCGGAGGTGTTTTCCAACCTCAGTGGTTCTGTCTCTGATGTGTGTCAGTTATCCATCACAGGATTCTGCATCACTTTATCAGACTCAGCAAGTTACTTCAGTCCTGTTTGTTTAAGCCAGTTGGAGTGGATCCTGTTCCTCTGATCGGTTCTCTTTGTTCTTTCAGATTTTGGGTTCAGCAACATCTTCACCCCTGGCCAGCTGCTAAAAACCTGGTGTGGGAGTCCTCCCTATGCTGCTCCAGAGCTCTTTGAGGGCAAGGAGTACGATGGGCCCAAAGTTGACATTTGGGTATGTGTTGAACCTCTTTGATCTCATTTTCACTGTCTGGCTTTGCTTCCTGAATGTCTCCTGGTCACGAGTACTGTCATCAGACAGTGCATGTCTTGGAGAAAAGCCCCAACGTGGCAAAGAAACACTTAGAAAATCTTACTCTGGACACTACGTCCTGTGTTTTCTGTGCTGGGAGGTGCCCAGAAATGCCTCTGAGTGTGGTTTCCCCGGAGCCCATGGCTGACACGGGGTGTGTTTTGGGTGCAGAGCCTCGGCGTGGTGCTGTACGTGCTGGTGTGTGGAGCTCTGCCCTTCGACGGGAGCACCCTGCAGAACCTGCGCGCGCGCGTGCTCAGCGGCAAGTTCCGCATCCCCTTCTTCATGTCCACAGGTAAGGCCATCAGGGAGGGGGGAACACACAGCCTTTCCCTGCACCTCTGCTCTCAGCTTCTGGCAGCAATATGGCATGTGGATCTCCAGCTGCAGCCTCATCAGAGATGTGGTTGTGTCCTGTTGCTGCTAAAATGCTTCTGAACACTATTACTAAATCTTGGTTTGCAAAGTGTGGTTAGTTCTCAGATGAAACAGCTGCACTTCAGAACAAGTCAGATGTAGGAACAGGCCCTTTCTCTCCCTGCACAGCTCTGTCCCTCCCCAGGGGCGACTCAGCCTCTCCCTTCCCTTGCAGAGTGTGAACACCTGATCCGCCACATGCTGGTCCTGGACCCGAGCAAGCGGCTCTCCATGGAGCAGATCTGCAAACACAAGTGGATGAAGCTGGGAGAGGCTGATGCAGAGTTTGACAGGGTAAGCAGCAGCAGGCAGGGTCTGCTCACGTCGGGCACGTGGTGCCGCAGCCTTGGTTCTGTTCTCTGGGAACTCATTCCCACTGCTGTCACGCTGCCTTTCCCCTTTCTGTGTCTCCTGGCCTCGCGTTCCACATCACTTCTCATCTACGTACGTTTTCGTATCTTTCCCTGTGGCACTGGGAGCTTGAGGCCCTGGATTTGGGATTGGTGTGCCAGCTGCAGCCCGAGCCCAGTGCACAGGCTCTGGGGAGCGCTGGGACTCACCGTGGTGCCTCTGGGAATGGCACTGACCGTGTCTGTGCCCTTGCAGCTGATAGCAGAGTGCCAGCACCTGAAGACTGAGAGGCAGCTGGAGCCGCTGAACGAGGACGTGTTGCTGGCCATGGCAGACATGGGGCTGGACAAGGAGCGCACGGTGCAGGTGAGGCCCCACGTCGTGCCTGCCCCTCCTGGAGACCAGTGTTGGGTGGCACTCCCAGCACAGTGTGGGGCATGCTTTAGTGCTTGGCACGAGGGGCTGACCACCTTCCCTTCTCCTTTCAGTCCCTGAGGGCCGATGCCTACGATCACTACAGTGCGATCTACAGTTTGCTCTGCGACCGCCTCAAGAGGCACAAGAACCTGCGCATTGCACCTTCTCCCAGCATCCCACGGACCATGCCCTTCTCTGCCTCGGCCAACATCCAGGTACATCCTGCTTGCCCAGGGTTCTGCCAGCCCTGGCAGGCCAGGCAGTCCTTCACCTGTGAAACTCATGGCCGTGGGTGTCTTTGTCCTGGATGGATTGTGAAAATGTTCCTTGTCTGAGAACTTGGTGTGTATTCGGGTGCCGTAACCCTGAGATTAGGAACAGTCTGTGCATGGGAACATCCTTCGGTCTCCTGCTTAGTGACAGAGGACAAGGTGCTGTGAGGGTTCCTGGGAGCTGTAGTTCACAGCCCAGGACTGCTGTGTCATGGTTGTTCCTCAGTTTGTGCTGCTGTTGAAGCAATGAGCACTCGTTTTGGGAGAGGCTAAGTCATAAAGGAAGCATCTCGCTGCCCCTGCCTGAACAGAAGGGAGAGGGGGAAATGAGGTGACCCCTTGAGAACAAACAGCTCTCCAGGGTCCCCTCCCTGTCCCCAGGTGCTCACGGCTGTGCAGTGGTGTTAATCCAGCAGTGTTTGTAGAGGGGTTGTACAAGATGATGTCTTCATGTCTTCTGACACTGATCTCTCTACTCAGCAGGCAGAACAGACAGGCAACACCATGAACATCAATGTGCCACAAGTCCAGCTCATCAACCCTGAGAACCAGATTGTGGAGGTGAGGTACACCCCCCGGGACCCCTGCAACTTCTTTTCCCAGCTCACACTGAAGCCTTTCCCTTGATCCTCATGTTGTATTTCAACATCCCCAATGTTTTCCCTGTCCAGACTGACGGAACAATGAACTTGGACAGTGATGAAGGGGAAGAGCCATCACCTGAGGCTCTGGTGCGCTACCTCTCCATGAGGAGGCACACAGTGGGAGTAGCTGACCCACGGTGAGTACTGGGCTCTTCAAACCCAGGTGGAGGATTAAGGATTAAGGGGACCTGAGGATTTACTCCCAGCATGTGACTTTGATCCTTCTGGGTGTTCTTTTAATGGCCTCAGTCCCATTGCACAACTTAGTTAGTATTTCAGATGAGGGATGAGATGCTTTCCTCCCCCCAGTCAGCTCTGTGTAGGCTGTAGTGGTGCTCACTGGTGTGCAAGGCAGTGTCTCACCTGAGCTGCACTGCTGTCACATCCTAGGAGAAGTGTTTGTGATAAATGCCATCAGGGTTAATGCCAAGAGCTGGTTCTGGCAAATCTCAGTGTGGAGGGGAAAAAAGGGACAAAGAAACCCCAAGAGTGGCTTGACTACTCTGTGTGACCATTTTCTAGAGCAGTAAGCAGCTCTTTGTGAGGGGAAGCTGTGTGTGCTGGGTTTGTGGGTGCTTTTCCTCACATCATGGCTAATTCACCTCCCTGAATGTGCCTGCCCAGGACGGAAGTGATGGAAGATCTGCAGAAGCTCCTGCCTGGCTTCCCCCGTGTCACACCTCAGGCTCCGTTCCTGCAGGTGACCCCGAATGTGAACTTCATGCACAACGTGCTGCCCAGGCAGACCCTGCAGCCCACAGGACAGCTGGAGTACAAGGTACTGCCCAGTGCAGCTGCTCCCTGCTGCAGCTGTAGGTAAAACCAGATCTAGGTTAGATATTAGGGGAAAATTCTCCCCTGTGAGGTGCTGAGGCACTGGGACGGGTTGCCCGGAGCATCTGTGGCTGCTCCATCCCTGGGCCTGTCCATGCCAGGTTGGATGGGGCTTGGAGCAACCTGGGCTGGTGGGAGGTGTCCCTGTCCATGGCAGGGGGTGGGACTTGGTAACCTTTAAGGTCCTTCCAACCCAAACCATTCTGTGATTCTCCGGAAAAGCCGAAGAATGACGGAACCAGTGCGATACCAAATGATCTAGTGGGCTGGGAAGAAACAGCCCAGTGCTGCCTGGCTGGGAGCTGCAGCTGAAG